AAAATACGATTTACTCATATGCAGACGACTCCTTTAAGAAATCTTTATGTCTAAAATTATAAATTAAGCGGCCAAATAAAAATGCCAAAAATATTTTATCATTGAAAAACCCAGACGACACGCGAAAAACGGATGTTATTATGTGTGAGCAGGCATCCCTACGCTACATTAACTTAACCTGATTTTGAAAGTAACTTATATTTGATACATAAGTTGTTTAGGGAAATTAAAACACAACCACCCCTTACCAAAATGATGAAAATTCTGTAACCTTAACAATTTAAAATATTAAGATCATCTATAAATGAAGTAAATTTCTAAATAGGTTATTCCAAAAATCACATTAAATTTCATGAATTAGCGTCCGCTATAATTTATCTAGACTTTTAAATCAAATTCTGAAACTTTATTCAGAATTAACTTGAGTCACCTCGGTTGTTCGAACAGGAGTAGAGCTTTAGCCACTTTCACGTTTAAGACGAAGTTTACGTTTCAATTAAAAAATTTCTTTCTTTCTCTTTCACTTCCAAAAGCACTTTGAGTCTTAGTCGCATTATATATTGCCTTGCTTGGGGTGAATTGACTAAAGAAATGCAAAGGAACTTTACATAGCTGATGTTACTTTTGTTATAAATTCCAAAATTTGATCGGTTTAGATATCGATGAAGTTTTTGGATGTTTCCATTGTATAGATTATCTTTTTGTCGAGGCGCTCCAGTTTTATATATATATATATATATATATATATATATATATATATATATATATAAACTGGGGAGCGCATATTTTTAATAATATGTCTCTAACCCTCCTGGTAGATAAACGGAGCGTCTACACAAACATGAATATATATATATATATATATATATATATATATATATATATATATATATATATATATATATATATATATATATATCCATTTGGGGGAATATATATATATATATATATATATATATATATATATATATATTGACCACTGATATTATCAGTATATATATATATATATATATATATAGCACACATAAAGAGTATATTTCTTCATATATATATATATATATATATATATATACTCAAAAAAAGTATATATATATGTGGATATGTAAGGAACAAATATAAAAATCCCATCATTCTGTTAGATTACAATCCATTTTTGATCTATATATGATCCCATATATATATATAAAGTGAGAGAGAGAGTGAATGAGAGGGAGCGAGAGACAGACAGGCAAAGAAATAGCGAGAGTGGGGGAAGACGAGAGTGAGAAATCTAACCTAGAGACAGTTAAGTCAAGCTTTAAAGGTCACTCATATTCGTCGATAAGTGACAAAGCTTAACAATGGCTGAAATACTGAGAAACATTTGTCTCGTCCCACCGCGAAATTGTCAGAGTGAGGCATGGTAGCGGCGGGAGACACGTTGCATTCCCGCCGTGCAGGGAATCGTCAGTGCAGCCAGCGTCGCAGAAGGGGTCGGAAATTTGTCAAGGAAGCATCAGCGAATGCCAAGCCCGCATCGAACTAACAAATAAATCATCACATCTGTTGGAAATCGGTCAACGCCTGGCGATAGAAAATGTGTTCCTCGGGAAACAAGAGATTGTGCACAGAATAACGGACAGAAGAAACCCGGGAACATCAGAAAGGCGGTGGGAGATTGGAAATAAATCTCGGAGATTTATGGCTGTTTAGTAGTTGAGTTTGGATGTGCGCGTTGTATCGGCGCGGGAAATGGGATCAGTTCAAGTTCTGTCTGAGGCCGTTGCCTTCACTTTGACATAAATGCCCTTGGGGAAGGTATGGATTCAACCTTCCTCTCTATATATTATAAACAGAACGGCAGACAGTTAAACTCTAGCCTTGATTGGCAACCACTCGGCGTGTAGCACAACTCTGAATTCAAGACCCGTTGGGAGTAGAACGAATAACTCCACACTGTATCAAATAGCATGCTTTACCCGTGGCGCCATAATACGACAAGAGCAATTGACCTAGTTGCATATTTCTCAGTGATACAAAAAGGGCAGGGTACGAACCTAATGATCGAATGCTAATTTTCATCTTAACCCTAGAACACTAACCATAGGTATATAGTACCCAGCGCAAATTTTCCTATTTTTAATTATAATTTTCAGTACCTGATTTTCTTACCTAAATAAAGTTTTTCAATTCCTATTAATGTACAAAGTTTGAAGTGCCTGCATGTACTATATTTCAAATAAAGATTTATATTTAATATTTTTTTTTTGATATTTTCAAAATCGGGTATGATATACCCATGGTTAATAGTGGTGTAACTTTAATTGATGGTTTGTGTTCTAGGGTTAAACAAATTGATCATACTTGGTGCAACACAAATTTTCCATCAGCTGGTGGCAATTCCGATGTGCTGAAATAAATGTGTGTGGTCCCAAAAGGAATAATTTGAAGAAGACTCTTCAACTATTCAACTTTTTCCGAATCTTCTGTACTGTCCTCTGATTGACAACCAAACATTCTGAAATGTTCGTATTGAATCTTCCACCGCATGCTGTTTCCAAAATTCTGGTGGAGTGAATTGCGTCGTAGAGGCTATTTGGGGCCGTATTTGAAATGGCAGAATATCGCTTTTTTTTAATCATTTTTAAAATTATCGGCTCCCTGTACCGCTCAAGTAAGTACCTAACTCCACGTGCCATCCTCTACTTTTACAAGCGCCAGATCGGGCCTAAAATGGTGTACTGCCGTCATATTTGGGAGGGAGCTGCCAAGTCCTAACTTTTCAGTTTCGATAGAGTCAAAAAGAGTCTCCGAGTCTTTATAGTTGACCAACTATTTTCCACCATCCCATCTCTCTCTCTCATGGTTGGAATGTAGCAAGCCTCACACTGCCCTATCTATTGTTCCATGGAAAGTGCACGGACGGAGTGTTTTACTTAAATATGCAATAACGTTCTCAATATCGGATACAGAGCGTGTGTAAATATAAAAGTGAACATAGAAGTCAACACTTAGAGGCGACTGGCTGTTTCATGCTAGAATCAATCATCAGGCCAATATATATATATATATATATATATATATATATATATATGTGTGTGTGTGTGTGTGTATGTATGTATGTATGTATATATATATGTATATATATATATATGTATAGGTATAGATACATATACGTATATATACATATATATATATATATATATATATGTGTGTGTGTGTGTGGTTATATATACATATATATAGTTGGGTGCGTGTGTGTATATATATACATATGTATATATATTTGTGTGTGTCTGCATGATTCTGCCCATTTAACACGGAAGTTTCTTGCAACGATGCCGTTGTATTGTATTTTGTTTGTGGTTAATCTGATGTTATAGCGACGTATAAGATTGATTGTGCACAATTACAAACTTGATCTTTACTTGTAAATTACTTTTCTCTAATGTGAACATTCCTCTTCTTTGTATTCCACAAATTTTCAGTCGGAATCAAATTTAGCGAACAAGACGGTCACTTCATCAAGAGAGTACCTATAAAACACCTTATGTTCAAATATTCGTTAATACTCCTCACCGAATGTGACGAAATATTATCATCCATAAAAGGAAAGATATTTTTGATTCTTCTTGAACTATGACTCTACGTGTGCCTTCAAGAATACTATATATGTCTAGCTTACGGGCATGTGTTCAAACGCTGCTAAGTTAAGGAACTGGTCAGTATCAAGGCGTCTGACCGGATCAGTGAATATGTTAGTCTATCAGAACTTAAGTTTAGCACAGAAATAAATACATGGGGACCGTCAATAAAAAAGAGAAATTACAGAATGTCCTTAATTGCAGCTGCTGTAGAAAAGAGAAAACTTGGTGGGTGCAATCAAATGTAACAATCAGTAGGACTCATAAGTAGAAAGAAAAAGTTTAATTGCTCTAATTCTTCTACTCTGAATTGTCCCACGAGGCAACAGTGCGCGTTAATTTGTACATTATGTGAGATCTATACCTGGCACCGGCGGTGTTTACTGAGACACAGTAAGTGATAAACAGGTCGAGTAATAACTGAACAGTATTAAATAAGAACCAGATATGGTTAACGTTCAGTTCATAATTACCTGTACTGATAAGCAGCTGATGAAGACTGAAGAGTACAAAATTGTGATAACAGAAAAAAAAAATGATGAGGACAACAGTCCGCATGTAAATGATATAAATAATGATAACTTAAATCGCATTTCTTTTTATTTGTCAAACAAGCCTTTTTTTTAATCATTTCACCCCAAGCATGGCGATGAAACCACTAACGCAAGGGATAACTGAATGTTAGATAATATGAGAAAGAATATAATATTAAGGAGAGAAGACAATAAAAGAACAGAAATTAAGACAACAGATAACGAATGACATTGAATTTAAATTTTTTGAAGATCGAAATTGACTGGGAAGCAAGAAATGGGAAGATAGTTCCACAAGTGAGAAGTGCGAGAGAAGAAACTGTTAGCATAGAACTTACGGTGATATTTTGCCGCCAATCTAATGCAATCTAGGCAACGCTTGCATTAAGTCATTTATGTCAACCATTAAAGCCCCTGTGTAATGACATTCGCTTGAAAACTTTAATAACAAACTGAAATAAAATGAATTCAAAATGTACTTAAAACATAAGAATAAAAATGGTTTATCATATTGATAAAATCTCTCCAAATAATAATGCAAGCAAAATGAGAAGAAACTAATAAAACGGTGTAAGACTGTGACGGCGTTAGTTTGCCAATTCATTAAGGGAATAAACAATTAGCAGGATTTGTCCCTTTATTGAATAGTGATATCTTCTTGTGTGTCTGAAAGCGATATATATATATATATATATATATATATATATATATATATATATATATATATATATATATATATATATGATAGAAGGAATGAAATTTCGAGCTGGCATAGATAGATAGATAGATAGATAGATAGATAGATAGATAGATAGATAGGAATAGAAAGATTGATCAGTCTAACAAAAGAAAGAAAACAATGAACAAAACAATAGCTAGTTAGTTGAATAGATAAGAAATGAGATAGATAGATGATAGATAGATAGGATAGATAGATATGGGCATATTCAAAGAAAACGTCAAAAGAAAAAAACAAAAAATAAACAATCAACCAAATGTTCGTTAAGAAGAGAAAGATAGATAAATGAAGATGAATTCTTTCTTTAAATAGAAGAATTTGAGAAAATTAATCAAACAATGAACAAAATAGCTATGCGCTGTTTAGTTAGTTGAATAGATATGAAAACAAGCTGAGATAGATAGATAAATTATTTATGATAATAGATAGATAGATAGATGAATAGAGATAGAACAAAATTCAGAAATTACAATGAGATAGATAGATAGATAGATAGATAGATAGATAGATAGATAGATATGATCAGACTAAGAGAAAAGAAAGAAAACAATGAACAAAATGCTATAGCTAGCTAGTTAGTTGAATAGATAAGAAACAAGCTGAGATAGATAGATAGATAGATAGATAGATAGATAGATAGATAGATTAAGGCTGTTTTATTTAAAGTTTCAAACTTCATTTTATAAAAATAAACTAAAATAAATAATAGATAGATAGATATGATAGATAGATAGATAAATTAATTTGATTTTCTAAGATATAATTAGAAAAAACAATTAAAATAAAGCTTTTTTTTTGAATAGATTTGTTAATTGAGATAAAAAAATAGATAGCAAAAAATTGAATAGAAAGATTTAGAATTATTATTTAAATAAACATTTTTTTAACAAAGACTAAAAGTTTTGTTCGTTAATATATATAGATATATAGATAAATAGATACATTGAAAATATATAATGAATATGATATGACTAAGAGAAAAAATAAAAACAATCATTAAAAATGGTTTTAAAAGTTTAAATGATAAAGAAACAAGAAAAGATAGAATTATTATAATAGATATAATTTTTCAGATATATAGAAAATATTACAAAGAAGAAACAAAGAAAAATGAAACCATAAGGAAGATAAAAGAGATAATTAAATAGATGAATTTGCGTGAAAAAATGATAGCTTTTTGGTAAATACAAAATAAATAAGAAACAGATAAAATAGAAAATATTTTTAGACACGTCAAAAAATGGGCATTATTTTTTGGACAAAAAGAAAAACCAAGAATCCTCCTCAAAAATGGAAGAAAGAATAAAGATAGATGATAGAAAATGAATATATATAAGAAATAAATATGATTTTATAATAAAAGATATAAATCCCAATAACAAAATGCTATTTCTGTCTAGTTAGTTGAATTCAATTTCTGAAAAAAAATGTTTTGAGAAATATGAAAAATAGAATAAACATGATAAAATATTATGAATAGATAAATATGATTCAATTTTTGAGGAACAAAAGTTTAATGTTTTGTTTAAATGAACAAAGAAAAGATAGATAATAGAAATAGCGGTAGATAGATTATAATAAATTTAAGAAAACAACAACAAAATAAGTACCTAGCTTTTTATTGATAATTCTTTTTTAGATAATAGATATGGATAAAAAATAGATAATTTAAAAATTAAGTGGGCAATTAATCAACTTTACTAAAATTTATAAAAAATTAATCCAAATGAATTTTGAGAGAAAAGATACAATAAGGGATATATACATATATAATATATAGAAAGAAAATTTCTAAAATGAAAGAAAACAATTTATATTATAGAACAATGTAATTTACATATATATTTGAATACATTGGTTTAGCCAAGCTGATTGGCAAAAAAAATATATAGATAAAAAGATAATATATGAGCCAAAAGCAAAAATATCCAATAATTCATATATTCATATATAGATGGATATATATAGATAAATAGGCATGTTGTTCAATTAAGAGAAAAGAAATATAAAAATATTTATAGTTTTTAATATAATTATCAATATTATAAAAATATCAATGCCCATTTTCATGATAATAAAAAAAAAAAATATAAAAAATCTAGTTTAATGAGTTGATAGTTTAATAGGATGTATAGATTAATATATAATATTCAAGAGGAGGAAAAAAAAGAAAACAATGACGTTTAACTAGTTTATTGAATAGAAAGAAAAAAATTTTGCTATGGGATAGAAAGGAAGGATAGATAAACAAATATTTATTTAAATATCTATAACGTAAAATTAAATATGTTTTTCATGTAAATAGATACTATCTCAAATAATAAAATCGTCAAATTGTGAAAAAAATAAAAAATACATAAATATATATTTAATATATAAATAATTTTTAAATATATTTTTATCGGTCAACAGAAATTATTTGTCCTCGTTTTTATGATAAGTATTTTCTTCGTCCCATTCTTGGATTTATTTTCGTATAAGGAAACAAGTGAATTACATTTTAATTTCCGGATAACAACATTACGCCTGAGTATGAAAAAACCCACCCTTGTTAACGTTCAAAATTAAAAAACAGATCAAAAATAACTTCATTTTTTTTTTATTCAATCTACAAAAAATAGTCATTAGAATAAATAAATAGCTAGGATAACGAAAAATTGAATATGAATAATATATATTTGCCATAGAATATACAATATATGACGTTTACATAGAATGAAAATCAAGGTCAATATTTCGCTGTTCATGAGGCATTGTAATTTTTGAAATTTCAAAAAATATAAATTTTTCCAAATTTTTCATTTTTTCACACTTTGTACATTCTGGCATTAATTTCGATCTGAACGTTTAATTTGATTCACCCGCCATTCTTTTCCGGCTTGTCTCTCCCAAATAATAAATAATTTTTTAGAACTGGAGTATTGAACTTCAAATATATCCAAGTGCCACTAAACCATATAACGAAAATATCGACGTTCGGTAAAAAAGAATTTTACGAAAATAAGGACAACAAGTCGAAGAAATTTGTTTTTAAAGGATTAATCATTCCGAAGTTATTTAAAAATTAAAAATTTTATATATCGATAAAACATGCAGTGGGTAAAAATTTGAGATTTTGAAACTCAAGTTATTTCATTAAAATGACTACCATTTTTTTTTGACATCTGCGCAGAACGAACCGGTTTCTATCGTAACTGCGCATATAGATGTTGCCACCATTCAAGCGGTAAACATTTACATTCCAATAAGTATTTATCTTATATATCGATTAAGAATGAAGAGAATAATAATGTGACACGCACTGTATAGATAGACAGATAGGTAGATAGGTCAAGAGGGAAGAACAAATTTGATGGTAGTGAGGCAATTAGAATATATATATATATATATATATATATATATATATATATATATATATATATATATATATATAAGAAAAAAAAACAAGAAAGTATCACACGATTTGTAGACATAAAAGAAGTAAAAGAAAAAACATCAAGAAATACACACAAACGCAAATTGACATTCACATCGCTGTCAAAGTCTGTTTATAAATATCTTTTTACTTGCTTGCCTGGTACCTGAGTAAGTTGCATGTTTATCCTCGTTACAAGCAGAGAAATGTCATTATATTCGTGGACTTGCAAAATATTTCATAGCCACATGATATAGCTTTCAATCACAGATCTATCTATCTATCTATCTATCTATCTATCTATCTATCTATCTATCTATATCCGAATCTGTTCAAATCTATCTGTCCATATCTATTTAATTCAGATTGTTCACACCTATTTATCTATAATTTATTTCATACTTGCTGTTCATATCTATCTATCTATCTATCTATCTATCTATCTATCTATCTATCTATCTAAATAGAGAACTCGAAACTGGCATCGAGGGGTTTCTACTGAAACCGATTTTGTTCATTTTGTATTAATAACAGAGGAAAAGGTTGAAAACATTGAACCCTGTGTTGACATGTCCTCCGATATCTTTCAAAAAAATATAATTATTCTTCTCTCTTTCTTTAAATATAAATATATATATATATATATATATATATATATATATATATATATATATATATATATATAAAGGCAGGATGTGTGCGTATGTAACGAATGCACAGCCGCAATTTTCGACGGATTTGCACCAAAACTTATATGCCCATGCTCCAAGTTAGCGGGAACGCCAAGAAATTTTTGCATTTACCAACTCCCATCGATAGTGGAAATAATCGATTTTTTTCATGCTTGGGCAGTTTCAGTTTGCGGCCATTTTCTACTGGCCAGAGTGAGAGCCTATAGCTGGCTGCCACAAATAGGCATGAAGATTCTATTGGCCAGCGTAAGAGCCAACAGCTGATTGACACGAATGTTAACTAGCATGCTAGCATGCAAAAAAAAAAAAAATCGATAGCTGCATTCGTCACAAGTGGGAAAAATTTAAATCCGCATGGCACTTTACTCCAATTGGCTCATTTCTTGCTTAAACTCAACGTTGATTCTGATTCCACAGAACTGGGTTGGATTGTGAAAAAGTATTTATTGTTAACATTCTTTTTTCATTCATTTTTCCAGTTATTAGTCCATTTTTAAAGCTGATCGTTTTTATTATGTTCATTTTGTTTTGTTATTTTCTTTGAAGGTAACAGATTTAATGTTTAGTATATTATATTTGAAAAAATTATGTGAGATATGAAATAAAAAAGCATGTAGCAACATCAGCAAAGATATTTATAACTCCTTTAAAGACCATGAAGGGCAAAAAATATTTTAGTTTAATATATTTTATATATATATATATATATTTAGGCAATATATATATATATATATATATATATATATATATATATATATATATATATATATATATATATATATATATATATATATATATATATATATATATATATATAATATATATATATATATATATATATATCTTATATATATATACCCACCTTTGGGACTTGACACCTTGAAAGTATCTCTATACCGCTACTTATTATAAACACCCTACACTCGCCTACCCAATTTAGACAATTCACCCTAGCTGTTACCATGGGGATTTTGATTTCAATTTTAAAACAAGTAAATTTCAGATATACGTTATTCAACAAAAATTTCGCTTGAAGATGGAACGGAGCCATTTTACTTTCAACTCAATTTAATTTAAAGGATTATATTGAAGTTTTCGGCTCTATTTTTTGAAACATGAGACCTCTTATGTCGCGATTTGGAATCATATTTTAAATAAATAATTATATATATATATATATATATATATATATATATATATATATATATATATATTGGATTATATACCTATGTGTGTGTGTGTGTGTGTGTGTGTGTGCATATGGGCGACGATAATCTTTATATATCCTTGACTACATCAATTTTGGCTTGTGTAATAACGTTTTTTTTTTTAGACGATACCACGCTAGTATCAAGCTACTCTCACCTATGAAGGATAGTTGACTTACATTTTGTAATGAAAGTTCGCGGAAGTAAAGAAATTGGTGAATTTCAACGAGGGAAAATTTTTGGATGGCATCAGTGTGGCAAGTCAAATATTGCTAGTTTTTTTTTAATGTTAATCATCAAACGGTTAATAATATTGTCAAGAAATTTAATAAAGAAGGCTATTGTCCTGTGGAACTACTTTTAA